ACCCTAAACCCCAAAACGCTAGAACCCAAATTCTAAACCCTAAGCCTCTAAGCCCTAAGCTCCAAACCCTAAACCCTACACCTTAAACCCTAAACCCTAAACCCTAAACCCTAGACCCTACACGTCACGGCTGAATCCTAAACCCTAATCCCTACGGCTTAAACAAAAACTCTAAACCCTACTTGGAGGATCATGGGACTTAGTAAGTAAGGTTAGAAGTCCCCTAATTGGGGTTAGAAGTATAGTTACCTTAGTTATAACCCTAATTACTAAGTCCCATGGTCCTTTCAGTAAATCCTAAGCCCGAGAGATTAGGGTTCTTTGGTTCAAGGGTTGCGGGTTCAAGGGTGGGGGCCAAGGGCTTAGATTAAACTCTATAAGCCCTACACCCCGAACCCTAAACCCTAAACCCTACACGCTACGGCTTAATCCTAAACCCTAGACCCTACGGCTTAACCCAAAACTCTAAACGCTTCTTGGAGGATCATGGGACTTAGTAGGTAAGGTTAAAAGTCCCCTAATTGGGGTTATAAGTATAGTTACCTTAGTTATAACCCTAATTACGAAGTCCCATGATCCTTTAAGTAGAGTTTATAAGGTTAAGGGCTTGGGGTTTGCTTAGGGCTTAAGGTTTAATTAGGTTTTAATTGGGGTTTACGGTTTATAAGGTTTAATTAGGGTTTAATTGGGGTTTACGGTTTAAGGTTTAATTAGGGTTAAATTAGGGTTTAGGGTCTAGAGGAAGTGCATATGGGTACTTTGGCAAATCAGGGCTCCCTATTGCCCCCCTCATGAAACAAAGAAGTTATATCTAAACATCGGCATAGATATACATACATATATATATATACATATATATATATATATACGTATTTGTATATATATATACACACTATGTGTATATTTAGTTACACCTATATATATATATATATGTATTTACACAGTTATATGATATGCCGTATGTATATATACACAGATGCACGCTTGCATGTAACCTACGCTTGCAGCCGTGGAAACACAATCATCCTTCATCCCCGTTCACCTTCGACCGCAAAGCAGAAGAGCAGTGAGAAGAGGCCGTACAAGCAGTTAGAAGCAACTGTACGAACAGCGGGAAACTCCCTGGACCCGAAATCCATACCCGACCTTAAAACATAAACAGAACTCTCTCTAAACCCTAACCCCCATCAATGATCATGACTTCCCAACTCGTCGGGAAACCTTCTACTAAACTACCCTGCTCCACGGAGGGTTCGCATATGCAAGGGCTCTGTAAGGGTTCTACAAGGCCCTGTGGTGAGGTATCTTTGCGGTGCTAGCTCGCAGATATAAGAGTGCTAGAAGCATTGCTTCGGCGTACTCTTCGGGCTTGGAGCGCCAAACCCTACTTGCACCCCTAAGCCCTGCACCCTGTGTTCATCCGGCAGTGAATCCCAAGATATCCCAATAAGCTCGAAACCTCGACACCGCAAAGGCCGAAATGCAACAGCCACATTTGCAGTCAAATATCGTGCGCCTGAGCCACTGTCGCTATATTCGAGTAGCCCATCGTGACTGGTTTAGGGGAAGCATGAAGGCAGAAGAAGATGTTTTTTGTCTTCATTCATCACAGCTGCCATAGCAAATTCAACTCGATGGTCGTATTTTTCATATGAGAGGTGTTGCCGACAGGAAATGTTGAAAACGTTCGTGGGTCTTTCAGTTTTCGAGTGGCATCATTTCACCTTCGGCGACCTTCTTCGTCCTGGACATTGACAGTGCGGCTCCTTGCCACAGTCTACAGCGTAATCGAAAAGCTGGCACAAGGCAACAGCAGAAGAAACCAGCTTTGACTCCGAGCAGCATGGGACGTCAAAGGCAATTCGGGGCTTCAGCTGTTGAAGCAAAGATCAACCCTAAACCCTAAACACATCCTAAACCCTAAACAAACCCTAAACCCTAAACAAACCCTAAACCCTAAACAAAGCCTATAGACCCTAAACCCTAAACAAACGCTTAAAACCTAAACACTAAGCCCCGGATGGTTTGCTGCCTATATGCGTCTGGACTCGGGTTGCAACCCTTGTGCCCTTGGGTTTTGGAGTTTGGGGTTTAACGTCTTGGGGTTGCCCATTTGAGAAACACCCATCCATGCAGTGAAAGTGCGTTACTTTTGTTTCCTAAGTTCCAAACCCTAATACCTAACCAGGGGTTTCCTTTTCTCAGCACCCCAGTGGTTTTGGCGATTCCTGTACAGTGCCGTTAGATCCGCTGGGGCCTATGTCCCAAGCCCTAGAAGGCCTACATGTATATATAAGGACATGTAAAAGGAACGCATAATAAGGAACCCCAAAAATAAATACCCTAAACCCTAAACCCTAAACCCTAAACCCTAAACCCTAAACCCTAAAGGTAGGTTGTGTGGGCTTAAGATGAACCCTACACCCTGAACTCCCGAGTGCCCCAGGAAGGTTTATACCCGGGACCGGCTGGGGCAGCCTGTGCCAGAAAGGCTGGGACTTAGCAGGGCGCAGAGCTACTTTAGGGTTTAGGGTTTAGGGTTTAGGGTTTAGGGTTTAGGGTGCAGAATTGTGTTTTTGATATCTCCATTTTATCTTAGTAGCCGAGTAGTTAACCTTTAACCTTTTGAGGCTTATATGATCCTACTATAACCGAAAAGGTTAGCCTTTTTGGGCTAGGGTACTCAGCCCCTAAGTTAAAGTCCTCATAGGGTGTAGTATAGCTGTTGTAGTTAGTAAGACCCCTACATTCGGAGCAGCACCGATGGATTCGCCTTACCGAGAGACTCGGGAAGAGCTTTCAATGGTAAGGAAGGTACATGGTAAAGATTCCCCGAATACTATAGAAGCCGGAATACAACTGCCAATCTTAGTCTTTGGGGTTCCTGATTCTACTATAATGCTATAATCTAGCCTGAAACCTTCTGACGATAGACAGGTGAAGGCTAGCGTTGCTCCAGGTTGGAGTTGGGGGGTACAGTTCAGGGATTGAGGTTCCGTATCCAAAGCTGAATTCAGGTCTATGGAGTTGGCCTGGAAAGCTTTGGAGCCGTTTTTGGACAAGCAACGACTTCGAGAGATCCTTACGAATGCCATCATGCGGGCAGTAGCACAACTACTACGAGGGCAAACCTCACACCTGCTGTAAAGTCACTGTAGAGCTTTTCCGTGCAACGATACGCAAAGAGACATTCGTCACAAGAGCAAGCTGCTACCAACCGATAATTTCAAGAATCATATTCATGATAATCATGCGAATACGTATCCTTGCTGACACACCTTATGATAATAAATCTCGCTGGGAACTCTTCGGTGAAGGCTCCAGCTTCTGACAGTTTCGGCGGTCACAAACGACGAGTCCTGGGGGCACTACGTGGCCCGGCGCGAGGCAAGCTCCTTATGTTGAGGGTTTAGGGTTTAGGGTTGAGGGTTGAGGGCTTCAGTGAAACTTCAAGAGTTTAGGGTTTAGGGGCTGAGGGTGTCGGCTTCATGGGTTTAGGGCTTGAGGTTTCGGGTTCAGCGTCTCGGCTTGTTGATGAAGGTGGAGCTGTTTCCCAAAAGTCTTACATGGTCGTAGCATTAGTTGGTATCGTACTAGTGTTGGAATTGATTAGGTTTTTTAGTCTTGGTGTTTGTATTTGTTTTGGTGTTAGCATTCGTGTTAACAGTTCACACCCGAAAGCCTAACCCCCCTAAACCCTGATGTCACCTCATATAAGGGGAGTGGAGTTCCTAGTGATACTATTCCTTGATAGTCCTCACATACATATTGTACTATTCTGCGTCCTAAACCGTATAGTTTGTTCACAGTAAGGCATCGAAGATATATTCCTTGGACCTTACCAGAGCTCCTGCTGTCACAAGGCTGTCCGGCAAGAGTTGAACAGTGACATCTCCAACTTCCAGCGATACGAAGCAGTTGGCTGAGAGCTTGTGTCGGGTTGTGGGTTCAGGGTCGTTCCTGACTTTTTTTGTGGTCGCTCTTCTGGAGCTTTGGCTGGAGCGTAAACAGCGGGGACTTGAGATAGAGTTTGCTGAGGAAGCTCGGCTGCGACCTAGTTGTTGTGCTGCGGTGAAGGAGGGGCCAAGGTACGATTGGTATTACCGTCATACCTGCAGCAATCGTATTCGCGTCACGTAGTAGGAGGACTTCTATGTCGTGAAGGCCCATCGGGTTGAATAGCAACCGTAGGAGTAAATTGCGGTACTCGAAAAAGTATAGGAAAGAAGTTAAGATTAGCATCAATGTAAACTGACGTAGAGTAAGATTCGTCAAACGCTCACACCCTACATCGGTGTCTCGCTGAGGTTGACACCCAGGCAAGAACGACTGGTGGGTGCCTCAGGGCACTGTGTAGAGGTCTGAATATCGAAGAGCTAGGTCGATGATATACATCCTGCATTACCCATAATAGCCATAATAAGGAATATACCATAATTCCCATAGTTCAGGGTCCTTAAGGCCCTAGGATTTATATCATCAGCAGTATCAACTCGAATTCCCATCACGCGAGGCTCGAAAG